CAGCCAGAGATCACTCTGCCCATGTGTGTAGCAGGTCAAAGCACCAGGGAATTTAACTGCCCTTGGGAACAGCCTTCAACCAATGTCTTGACAAAGTTGGAGGATAAATACCCCAGCTCTCTTGCGGCTCTCTTGGGATAACCCTAAGATATGTTTTTCTCAGAGCTCCCCAGCTCCAGTTGTCCATGGTGGATGCTTTCTTGACAGTGCAGGGTGGACTGGCTTCCTCTCCATTCATGTCACTTCTCCACTCCTCTATTGGTGTTTCCTGGGATCAACCCCCAAATAAAATATTTGTATTTGGATCCTTTCCTTGGAGTCGCTCCTGGTGGAAACCAAAATAGGACAGTGCCCCCCACTGTCCCCAGGCCATATAGAATGGACCTTGGAGTTTCCACATATCTTTTTTTAAAAAATAAATTTATTTATTTATTATTTTTTGGCTGCGTTGGGTCTTTGCTTCTGCGCGTGGGCTTTCTCTAGCTGCGGCGAGCAGGGGCGTTGTGGTGCGCAGGCCTCTCACTGCAGTGGCCTCGCCTGTTGCGGACCACGGGTCTTAGGCATGCAGGCCTCAGTAGTCATGGCACGTGGGCTCAGTAGTTGTGGCTCACGGGCTCTAGAGCGCAGGCTCAGTAGTTGTGGCACACGGACTTAGTTGCTCCACGGCATGTGGGATCTTCCCGGACCAGGGCTTGAACCCATGTCCCCTGCATTGGCAGGAAGATTCTTAACCACTGTGCCACCAGGGAAGTCCCTCCACATATCTTTCCATGCTGAGCATTAGGAGAGAATACAGTGTGAAGCTGGTGTGGTCAGTGTCCTTCTCCTGTCCACTTTCCATGACTCACCTCTGTGGCGACGGGCCACATTCACAGATGGGACACCAAACATCCCATCTGCAATCAAGTCCAGGAACAGGTCTTTCTTTATGGCAGGGTTGTCCATCCCTCCTAAATACTTGTCAGTAGCCACTGGAGTCAGTTCCTCATGGATGTTCTGAAATAGATCAAGAGTGAAAGTGACCACCAAGCCCTAGTGAACAGCATGGCTTCTCCAGCCAGGGAGGAAGGCTTGCATTAATGGTGAACCTCTTAAGTTCTGTGCAACCACTTCCGCCCACTCCTGGTGGTGAGGTAGAAAGGCATGAAAATGGGAGTAGAACCCTCCAGCCCCAGTCTTCATTCTGCCATTAGTTGCTCTGCAGTTGGGGACAAGCCTCTTCCCCTCTTTAGGGCTCAGCCAGTTCCTGTGATCCCTAGACTCTTACAAGGATGGGGTAGGACTTCCACACGAAGGATGTGGCCGTCTTCTGGTCTAGCTTGCCTTCAGAGAATGAGTAGCCCATGAACTGTTAAAACAAAGGTTAAGCAATTATGAATCATCCAGTAATGACAGGAAAAACCGAAGTGACCAACAAACCAAACCAATGCAGGCTGAAGGTCACTTTGTCATGTCTTGATGGGCATGGGTCTTGGTGGAGTTGGGCAAAATCAATGAATCAAATGGACTTTTATATTTAGAAATCAAGGAGTACAAAGAAGATAAAGTAATTGTTAAGGGAAGCTGCCCCAGTCTTTGTGTGTATGTGTATGTATGTATATATATATGTGTGTGTGTATGTATATGCATACATATATATATATATATTTAGGCTAGAGTCTCCACAGTGGTCATCAAGAC